TTTCTTTCTTTCTTTCTTTCTTTCTTTCTTTCTTTCTTTCTTCTTTCTTTCTTTCTTTCTTTCTTTCTTTCTTTTGTATTTTAGTGAAGGGTCTACAGGCTTTCAGGGTCTCACTACTAGATCAGACTTGTAGTGATCCGCCTGTTTACAGCCTCCCAAGGGCTGGGATTACAGGTGTGCAGCACCATGCCCAGTCTCAATTGCTGTCTTAGCGTGCCCCAGGGGGTGGGGCTGGCAGGACAGGCCATGGGATTGAACCCCCAGCCCCTGCACCTACTTGCAGGTGCTTTAATCCACTGAGCTATTTGGCCTTCCCAACAAGTCTTTCCTTGTTGTTCCATTTTACAGGTAGGAAACTGAGGCACAGAGAGCCCTTGGTGTAGACAAAGTCTTACTTGATAGGTTAGAATTTAAAGGCCAGGAGTCCAGTTCAGTAAGTTTTGTTCTTAACTGCTCTTCAACATAAAAGCCTTCTTTTCATTCCAATATCCTTTTGGATCAAGCCCAGAAGGGTTTAACGGTCACTTCTTTAGCACACCCTGTTTGCGAAAGATGATCCCCGCATATTTGGCATTTAAGGAGTTTGTGTATCTAGAATTTTTCCTCCAATAGGGGCAGCCCTGTGACTTAACTGTAAATTATGCAACTTGTTGATCTGGGTTTTAAAAATTGGAATGATAGGTTTGGAATATTCGAAAAATGTGATATTGATCGCATTTATAAATGCAATTTACTTCCTTCCTAAATTGCTCTGGACCTTTGGCCTAAAAAACTAAAGGACCTCCAAACAAGATCAAATGCATTGGTTGAGAAATGTAGTTTAAAAAGTTTGAAGGCATTGGAATGAACGTTGCATGTGAAAGGGGTCAAACAGTACTGTAAAGATGACATAAAAGTAACTTACTATACCAAGAATTAAATGTTTGTAAGCAGAATTTCAAAAGGTCACAGAAATGGGGAAAGAGGTTGGTGAGATAACTCAGTGGACTAAGCAGCTGCTTAGGCAAACTCAGGGACTGGGGTTCGATCCCTGGTAAGACATGCCACGCTGGCCCCACCCTCAGATGTGCTGAGCTGGCCACCGAGACAGACATGGTGGTGCACACCTGTAATCCCAGCGCTGGGGAGGCTGAACACAGGAGGATCACTATGAGTCCCAGCTGTGTAGAGGTAGGCTTGAGTTTTGGGTTTCATTTGTATTTTCTTGTGTCTGAAAATCAACCACATGACTCTAACACCTATCGCTGAGCAGGCACTGGGTCCTCTACCTGCGTGACAGACATGGTTTCTGGCTTCAGGGGACCAGGGCCTAGTGGGAACAGCACCCTGGCTCTTTGTCCTGTGGTCTGGCACTGAGCTATGTCTGGCACCTGCCTGATGAGTGAATGACTTCACCTTCCAGTGAGCAGAGACCTGGCCAGAGAGCTGGGCCGCAGAAAGAAGAGCACGAAGACAGACAGGAAAGGCGGCCCTCGTCACCACTGCTCAGCTCTCGGCCCGATGCCCCATTTCCCAGATGACAGAAACCACACCTCCATCCTGGCTCTCAGTCTCTTTTTCCATTAACAAGTGGCCCTGCCTAGTGATGTCACCCACGCTTGGCTACACCAGGCACCAGTGGGCCAAGGCACTGGCAGGGGCCCCAGGCTGAGTCCTGTCTCTGTCTGACTTCTGGCCTGAGTTCTGGGGAGTGGGACAAGAAGGGGACTTGGGAGATGCTCTGCAAGCCCACTGGACCTCCCCTGCTACCAAAGCAGGGCACAGAGACAAAGAAGCCGAAAGATACCGGAAGAGCAAAGCAAAGAGACCATAGAGGGGGGAGGAGAGAGGAGAGTGAGGAAGAGGGAGGGAGAGATAGACAGATGGACAGAGGCAGAGACAGAGAGATCAGAATGATATATTGATTGAAAAGATTCAGGGGACAGAGAAAAGAAAGATGTAAGACAGACATAGGGACACAGGAATAGAGTAAAGTTAATGAAGAATCACAGATACACTAAAAGGGGCCTGGGCAGGGAGAGAGGGAGAGAGGGGGAGGGAGAGAGAGAGAGAGAGAGAGAGAGAGAGAGAGAGAGAGAGAGAGAGAGAGAGAGAGACAGAGACAGACAGAGACAGAGACAGAGACATATTGAGATAGAGAGAGATAAGTTCAATGAGTAGCAAATACTGAGACTCAGAAAGTTTCAGTGGGAAAAGAATACTGAGATATATATGATAGAAGAGTTTGAAAACCAAACATGGAGAAAGGAGAGAGGCAGAGAGAGGTAGAGAGAGGCAGAATGAAGGAAAGGTGCAGAGAAGAAGGAAATCTTTGCACAAGGTCCTGAGTTCCATCTCTGGGAAGAGAGAGAGAGAGAAAGAGAGAGAGACAGAGAGAGAGACAGAGACAGAGACCGAGAGAGAGACAGAGAGAGAGACAGAGACAGAGACAGAGAGACAGACAGAGACAGAAAGAGAGACAGAGAGAGAGAGAGACAGAGACAGATATAGAAAGAGAGAGAGGAAGAGAGAGACAGAGATAGAAGAGACAAAGAGACAGAGACAGACAGAGACAGAAAGAGAGAGACACACAGAAAGGGAGAGAGAGAGAGAGAGAGAGAGAGACAGACAGACAGACAGACAGACAGACAGACAGAAAGAGACAGACAGACAGACAGACAGACAGAAAGCAAGCAAGCAAGAGGCCTGTGCCTGTGCAGGGAGCACCCGCCAGCAAGGGTGAGAAGTGCTAGACAACTAGCCTCAGGAGACCCCTCCCCATCCTGGGGCCAAGCAGGCCAGGGAGTGGCACTGGGCTGGGGGCGGAGGGGAGGGAAGGCGGGAGGAGTGATTACTGGCAGGCCAGCCGGCCGGCTGACAGACTGATGGGGCACCTCACTGCCTGGGAATGCGCCCCGGGGACCAGTGGGCGGTTATAACCCAGGGCCTTGCAGGAGCTGAGAAAGAGGCTTTGACAAGAAGGCTGAGCAGGCTGAGGAGGCTGCAGCTGAGCCAGGAAGCCCGTGCCTGGCCCACTACGTAGACCAGGCAGGTGAGCTGGGGAGAGGGCTCCACGGCAGGTGGGGAGAGGTGCCCTGAGTGGGGTACACCCTGCCTCATCGTGGGAGCTGGCGGTGCTGGTGACCTCTGCTCCCCACTAGGGGCCACTGGGTCTCAGATCAGCACTGGTGATGGCTGGGACTTTCTGTCAGTACCCTGCGACTCCCCTCTGTCCTAAACACAAGGAGGGATAGGGAGGGAAGTGGGCAAAGACACCCAGAGCCAGCTCTCCATCCTGTCTTCCCTAGGTACAGCAGCCATGGGTAGAGCGGCAGACCCCTGGAAGTGGATACTGGGCACCCTGATTACAGCCCTGATTCTAGGGGTCACAGGTAACCAGGACCCTCAGGGGCATGCCCAGGCCCGGGGTGGCTGCCTGTGTGGACGTGAGGGCTTGTCCTCTCAGGACTGTGTGAGATGAGTCCCCAAGACTGCCCCCGTGTGTGCACATGGGCGCATGGGCCTGTGTGGGTGCCTGCTTCTGGATCTGGGACCATGGTGTCAGCGGAGCCAGCCCTTTGGGGCTCATGTGTGATGGGGTGTGTTCCATAAGACTGTGTGTGGCTTTACAGCCGTGTGGGTGAGTGTGTGCAGCACTGGGGTGCTTCATGTGTTTGGTTGAATGTAGCAACGTGGCTGTGCATATGCCTGCAGGTGTCTGAACATCCCTGTGTCTTGGGACCACGTACAACAAAATGTGTGACAGTGCGCTTGTGGGTAGCCACCTTTGACCACATGATGTGGTTGTGATGTGCTGTTATTTGTGACCTGTGAGGCCCAGGCCTCTGTCTGGTGACTCGATGTGACTGTTCGTACGAAGGCCTGTGAACATCGCTACGTATCTGGGCTTCCAGACCTTACCTGAAAGGACCGAGTATCCAGAACTGGCTGTCACCGTGAGCAGCTGTGGGCCTGTGTGCGTGCACGGGACGGCCTTCCCTCTGCGCACATCCAGCACCGGTGCATGTCGCTGGCCCTCTGGGTGTGTGTGTGTGTGTGTGTGTGTGAGAGAGAGAGAGAGAGAGAGAGCCTCCACCAGGCCACTCCGCGTGCTCCAGATGGTTGTGCGTGATGTTTGTGCCTATGGCAACTGTGTGGCTGGGGTGTGGTTGGGAACGGAGATGGTGCCAAGGCTTCCATTTTCCGGGGCCTCAGCAAGAATAGCAAGCATTGTGGGCGGCTGGGAGCACTGCCGGGCAGGTGTATGGGTCTGCAGGTCTGTGAGGGACCGAGACACTGGTAAGGAGGATTTGAGTCTGAGAATTCAGAAGGCTGCCCTGCTCTGCTTCTCCATGCAGTGCCCTTTAAAAGGCCCTGCTCCCCCAACTGGAGCGCTTACCAGGAGATCTGACTCCACCCCTTTCCCGGCCACGCCTCCTGGCCAGACTCTCTTGACTCCTATTGGGCTGCTCCAGCCCCACCCCTTTCATCCAGGCTCCACCTCCTTGCTGTTCTAAATCAACCCCCCTTCCTTTTCTGGGATCGAATCCAGGGCAAAAACTACCAGTGAGCCCAGTCAGGGCTCTTAAGTGTATTATCCCAGTGACCTGGTTTTGTCCCTGCCCGGTACCATTCCAAGCCCCTTGATCATTTCAAGTTCAGCTGCCTCCAGCCCTGACACTTCTCACCGAGGCCAACCCACTTTCCCCACCAGGATCCATCCCTAAAGCCCTGTTCTCTACGGCCACTGCCTGCTGAGACCTAGCCCTACCCAAACCCAGAACCCCACAGCCATCAGCATGAGCATTCTCAGCCTCAAATATAACATGGCTAACCCCATAAACTGAAGCCCAGCTCCACTCTTAATTGTACATCAAAGTCTAAACCTGGATCGTCCCAAGTGCTTCTCTCTTTCTGCTACATCCCGAACCACCACTGAACCCGGGTTTCTGGAGCCAATCCTAATTCTATCTCCACGTTGAGCTACATGCCAGCACTTTTCTTTCTCTTTTCTTTCTTCTTTCCTTTACTCTTCTTTAGGTTTTTCATTCCTTCTTCCTTTTTTTCTGCCTTTTTTCTCTTTTTTTGTGGTACTAGGGATTGAACTCAGGATTTTACACTTTCCAGGCAAGCACTTGCTCTCTCTCTCTCTCTCTCTCTCTCTCTCTCTCTCTCTCTCTTTCTCTCTCTCTTTCTCTTTTGAGACAGGATCTCACTAAGTCCCTAAACTGCCCAAACTGGACTCACATTTGCATTCCCGCCTCAGCCTCCCAGCGTGCTGGGATTATAAACTTCACCATCACTGAGTTTGGGCCATTTTGTAGCCTCCACCTCCATAATCCTGACCCCGCCCTGCAACCCTGGCTCTGCTCCTTACCGAAGTCCCCCCCAGGCCACCTTCCGGCCTCTCAAGTCTAAGTCCCACCCTGAGCCCCCACTGTCCATTTCTTTTTTTTAAGGGGTGGGAACCGAGGGTTGAACTCAGACCCTTGCACTTGCCCAGGGAAGCCCTTATTCTACTGAGCCCTGTCTCCGGCCCCCACTGTCCATTTCTGCCCCCAGAGCCTGTGCTTGCAAATGACACCTCCTGTGACAACCCCTCGGCCACTGGGTCCTCTGGGTCCTCGGGCAGCAGCCGGGACCTTGGAGGTGAGGCTGAGGCTGGGGAGGACACCAGGTCCGAGGATGACGACGGCAGCAGCAGTCGCATCGTGAACGGGTCAGACTGCGAGACAGACTCCCAGCCTTGGCAGGGCGCGCTGCTGCTGGCCCCCAACAAGCTGTACTGTGGGGCGGTGCTGGTGCACCCACAGTGGCTGCTCACTGCCGCGCACTGCCGGAAGCCGTGAGTGGAGCGGGTGGGTGGGTGGGGGGCTGCAAGGTGGGACAGCGGGTGGGGGAGACGTGGGGGTGGGGTGCACCGGTGTGGGGCTGCGATGGGCAGAGGAGCGGGAATGGGCAGGAGCTGGGGGAAGGAAGACGCCTGTGTCTCTACACAGTGGGTTGGCCTGGAGGTGGGACCATGATTGGCTTTGAAACTAGGGGCGCAGCGAAGGTGAGGATGAAGTTGGGGTGGGACCGGACTGGAGCTGGGGTTAGACACAGATGTAGGGTTGAGGACGACATAAGGGTGAGCATTAGCAAAGGAAAGATAGATGTGTGACTCTGTAGCCGGGCATGCTGGGATTTGGGTTTGGGAGTGCAAAGCTGGGTGGTTGGGGATTGTGAAAGGTGAGGACTGGGTGCGAGCTGGGTTTGGGGTTGGAGAGTGGCCAGGGTGGTTGGGCGAATGGGCTTAGATGCCTTAGAGCAGAGACGGAGTTAGGGTTGCGGCTCTAGAATTGGGAGTGGAAGTAATAATGGGGTTGAGATGCAGAAGTTGGAACAGAGTTAGGGTTGAGTTTATAGTTGTCAGCAATGACCAAATTCCAGGCTGGGGACCGCAAACATCAGGTTGATGGCCAGGAGGAGTTTCCTGGTGGGGGACGGGAGGTTTAGTTGTGAAGGGTTGGAGGGGGTGTTGGGTTGGGGTTGATACAGGTGAAGCTGGGATGACATGAATATTGGATATGGGCACAGGGACTGGAGCTCACGGTCACCCTCCATTGTCGTCCTCAGAGTTTACAGGGTCCGCCTCGGTCACCACTCCATGTCTCCTGTCTACGAATCTGGACAGCAGATGTTCCGGGGAATCAAATCCATCCCCCACCCTGACTACTCCTACCCGAGCCACTCCAACGACCTCATGCTCATCAAACTGAACAAAAAAATACGCAGCAGCCACTCGGTTAAGCCCATCAACATCACCTCCCACTGCCCGTCTGCCGGCACCGAGTGCCTTGTGTCAGGCTGGGGCACCACCAGCAGCTCCCAGCGTGAGTCCGGGTCCCTCCTGCCTCCCACCCGCCTTGGCCCCCCTCTGAGGGTCGCTGCCCCTCACCGTGTTGCTGTTTGACAGACAAGTTCCCCCAGAAGCTCCAGTGCCTCCACATCAACGTGCTGAGCCAGGAGAAGTGCAAAGAAGCCTACCCGGGGCAGATAGATGACTCCATGTTCTGTGCGGGCGACCAGGAAGCCAGAGACTCCTGCCAGGTGAGGCCCACACACTGTGATTATGAAGTGCCAGGAAGCCAGTGACGGTTGAGGTAGGGCTCCAGATCTCAGAGAGCTCCGATTCTAGAGCAGCAGTTTTCCACAGAAATAGGACGCGAGGCTGCATGTGTCATTTAAAATTTCTGATAGACACATTAAGAAAAAGCCAGGTATAGTGGCACATACTTATACTGCTAGCTACTTGGGAGGCTGAGGCAGGAGAATCCAAAGTTGAAGGCCAGTTGGTCAACTTCATGAGACCCTGTCTCTAAATAAAATTATTATTATTATCATCGTAATTAGTAGTAGTACTGGAATTTGAACTTGTAACCTCACGTTTGCCACGCAGATGCTGTGTCACTCAGCTACATCCCTGGCCCTCAAAATAAAATTTAAAAAGGGATAGGGGATAGGTCCCTGGGTTTCCAGTACTGCAAGAATAATACTGACGAAAGAAAACAGGTGAAGTTCACATCAATACTTTTATTTGATTCAGTACCTTCCAAAACATCATTTCAAAAGGTAATTGAGCTAAGTTACAAAGGAGACAACTTGCCCTTTGGGATTTTTCCACATTGTTGGTGAAGGCTGGTGTATATTTTACACTGGCCAGGTAGCCCGGCTTCAGCAGCCCCAGGTGGCTGCGGGCTACTGTATCAGGCGGCTCCTGTCTAGAAGGACCGCGAGGCTGTGCAGTGTGGTAGGGCCAGTTGTACACTGCATTAGGGTATCACATCGGAGGGAAAAATTTTCGCATACTTGTCATGGTTTTGTCTGCTCACTTTGGCAATTCTCAGGCATGTGGCAGCTCTGCCCTGTCCCAACAAGACCTGTATGATGACACCTTTCTATCCAATTCTAGGAAAGCCTCGAGGAAGGACTTGATGCACCAGGTGCTCAGTGAAGAGAGAATCTAGTGCAGGGAGAGCACAGGAAACCCAGCTTATGGGGCACAAACTCTGCAGAGAGTAGTGAGGATACCCAGACAGTAAGACCTGGCCTCAGCATAGCAAATAGTGAAGCGGCATTTGCATACCTGGGGGAAGCAGCAGGGAGCAGTGGCTCCCTCAATCACTGCAGGGAGCCAAATCCCTGAAGGTGAAGGAGATGGAGGTCAATGAATGGTCAAAGGCCCTGAGGCAGGGAGGAGGTCATAGCTGGTTCAAGAAGCAAAGGAAACAAGCATTTCTGAAGAGCGGGACAGTGGGGAGCAGGCGGCACTGAGGCTGAAGTGGTGGGTGACAATCAAGGTTGAAAAAATATTTCTTCCTCTCATGAGGAAGACATAAGATAAAACTGTTATTACTTCCTATTATTATTGGTGTCCCTGAGACAGTGCCGCATTGTACGGTCCAGGCTGGCCTTGAACTATGAAGCTGAGGTTGGCCTTCGGCTCACAGTCCTCCTGCATCAGCCTCCTGAATGCATCTGAGATCACAGGTGTGCACCACCAAGCCCGGTTGGAAATTAAAATGAAACCACTGCAGGGCTCCTCTCCTGCTCGGTGATGCTGCAGGATGCGAGAGAGTGGGGCTCCAATCAATCGATCATTGGGTACAGGGTGCATTTCATCTGTAGTCTGGTGCCTGCAGGCTTAGAGAGCTGTGCTCGGGTGACACCAGCCCCGCTCTGATAGCTGCAAAAAGCTCCCCACAGATGCTCAGGCCGGTTCGCCAGGCCTTCTGGGAAATTGCAAGATTTTAAACCATGAAACATTCAGTGGTCCAGGCCAGTGTCTTGCTTTCCCAGATCTAAAGGTGCCCTTTCCAAGCAGTATGTGGTCTAGGCATGACCACTCCTTGCCACAAGCAACAAGACTAAATGAAAGCAGATAGAGGGCTGGCGAGATAGCTCAGGGGACTAAGCACCTGCTTTGACAAGCGCAGGGATTGGAATTCGACCCCCAGCACCCCATGCTGTGCCAGCTCCGCCCCCGGTGCACTGAGCTGGCCACTGAGGCTGGGTGTGGTGACACACACCTGTAATCTCAGTGCTGGGGATGCTGAAAACAGGAGGATCACTATGAGTCTGAGCTGTGTAATGAGACCCTGCAGCAAATACATTATAAAAAAAAAGCCCAGCAGTAGCAGCAAGCCCCTCATCTGCTTGCTGAAGCGTTTAACCACTGTTAACAGCCTTACCTTATGGCAGAGGCTCAAGGAGGCTAAATAACAGCCTGCCACAAAATGTCTGTAGCAGCTGAACCAAAAATGAATGGCAGCGGCCCAGCACTCCTATAACTCCAGTTACTCAGGAGGCTGAGGCAGGAAGATCAAGAGTCAGAGGTCAGAAAGGAAAGCACAGCAAAGCTGCACAGGGCAGGCTCTTTCGCTGCGGAGAAGCATCCACTGGAGAGGCAGGTGGAGCAGCAGCCAGGTCTCCTGCTCCCAAGGGCAGACTTTCGGGAATGTAAATAAGGCAGGCAGCTAGGAGCCCAGCGCCTGTTAGAGAAGGGTAATTACAGGGGCCCGTGAGGTGCTAGGAACAAGCAACACCGCTAATCTAAGGGAGCGGTTCCCAGCGCAGGTGATTCCACCCCTGCGGGCAGAAGGCTTAAGGACACCTTTGGGGTCACAACTGTACTGCATGGAGAAATGACCCATGCTCTGGTAGGAGGAGCCTCCAGACTCTACTGAACACCCCACAATGTGCAGGGTGGTGCCACAGCTGTCGTCCAGCCCCCAGCCAGGGGCGATGTTAGCTGAGTGTGGTGTCACGGGCCTATGGCCCTAACACTCTGGGAGGCTGAGGCAGGAGGAGTGCCAGTTCAAGCCTAGCCTGGGCAATTTAGTGACTTAACAAGACCCAGTTTTTAAACGCTGAGGTAGTTGTAGCTCACTGCAAAGAGGATTTGATACCTAGTACAAAAAATAAATTAAATTAATTTAAAAAACAAAAAAATAAAATAAACTGGGATGAACTTGTGTTTAGAATGGGGGAGAGGGGTATGAACAAACCGAAGAAAGCTAAAGGGAAAGTGAGAGAGAATACAGGGGGCAGACACATGACAGACCCACAGTGCTGGGGGACACGGACTGACCCTGACCCCAGGGAATGATGGTGTGTGGTTTACAAAGGGGCATTCGGGAAAACAGCTGGGTGGGGAGAGGGCACATCTATGTGTTGAGCAAAGGGCCTCTGCAGATGTGGTTAAGCAGAGGTCTGAGAAAGAGAGCCATCCTGGGTGACCTAGTGGGCCAACTGGCTCAATCCCTTTAGTCCTTATAAGCAGGAGGTGGGAGGGCTGGGATGAGGGAGCCTGGAAGACCCTGTGCTGCTCATGCAGGGGACGGAGGAGGGAACCCTGAGCCCAGGGATATGGGGCTTCCAGAAGATGGAAGCTTGCCCCCCACCTGGGTGCCAGATGGAACCGGGTATGACAAGGTCTGCGACATGCATAGATAAGGGTGAAACACTCACACTGCTGTCCGTCCTTGTGTGTCTACCTCTGTCCATCTCTGCACTGTCCCATTTTCTGTCTGGTCCCCCTCTGTCTGTGTGTGACTTGGCTCTCTGTGTCTCTCTCTCTGCAGGGTGACTCTGGGGGCCCCGTGGTCTGCAACAGCTACCTGCAGGGCCTGGTGTCCTGGGGTGACTTCCCCTGTGCCCAGCCCAACAGACCAGGCGTCTACACTAACCTCTGCCGGTTCAACAAGTGGATCCGCAACACCATCAAAAACAACTGAGTCCCCAGTCCCAAGACTCCAGTGTCCCCACTGCTGCAGGACTGTTCTCACCTTCCCAAGCATGCTGAGGATCCACTCCTCGGTCAGGACATCCTACCCAGTGGTGGAATTCCAAGGATAATTCCCAGAATGATGAGGGTGGCATTACATTGCCAACCTCCAGCCCAGAGCAGCCATGGTGGCTTTGACCATGACCCAAATTCGGTCCTTGAAATAAAATATCTCTTCTCCGTTGTGGCCTCTGAGTGTGTTCTGCCCATGCACTGCCAACCATGAACTCTTCCGTGGGTGGCGTCTGCTCTTGCCGATCCAGTGTTTAAGAGCTTCAGCCTCACCCAAAGCCACTTGGCATATTCTTCACAAATACTGACCTGTGACCCACACTCCTGCCCTGTGGAGCTTGGGGCCAGGTAGAAGAGGAAAGAAAACAAAGACGTAGGAACATCCATACACACAGGGTCATTACACCACCCTGCAGCCACGCAAACAAAAGGAGAGCAGTGCGTGAGAAAGAGGAGAAACGTTGGGGGCACGAGGTCTCTTTACAATGGGGTGGCACCACAGCAACCCCCCAAATATGCCCAGTCTCCAATTTCTCTTTTTTAAGTTTAATTTAATTTCATTTTGAAGAGTATAAGCCAAAGCAAAAACAAACAGCAGATGCAAAGACAGAAACAGGGTAACATACAGCAATACGTATGTTACAGCTTTTCAAATCAAGAATAGCAAATTGCCAATGGCTGTTGTATTACCTATTTTTATCATGAGATCTGTGCCAGATTAACATATATAGTTGTGCAAGACTGGACAAAAAATTGAATCATAACACTTGCCTTCAATAAACCTTAATTATTTTTCTTGTCTTTTTACTTTTTTGGTGAATTTATTTCAAAGAGAGTGTAACAATAATTGAAGGGCAGGTGAGATATCTCAGTAGACTAAGAGCCTGCTTAGGCAAGCTCAGGGGCCGGCGTTGGATCCCTGGCACCATAGGTCATGCAGGCCCTGCCCCTTGGCCCCGGGCGTGCTGAGCAGGCCAAGTTCTGGCCTGGTGGTGCACACCTGTAATCTCAGCACTGGGGAGGCTGAAAACAGGAGGATCACTAGGAGTCTGAGCTGTGGAGTGAGACCATGCACAAAATACAAGAAGAAAAAAAAGTCAATAAAACATTAGTAATGGTACACATTTAGAAGACCAGGATGAGAGGTATTCAACCACAGCTTTTCTATTACACTTTGCTGTCCTCAATACAGTTGTTTAGTTTGCAGACATCAGCATGAAGAGTTTGTCAAAGTGAAAATTCTACACGTTAACTGCTATTTTCCAAGCAACTGATGCTAATTACTAGTATAATCATCTCAGACATCCTGTCTATATACTTGAATGATTTTCCTCCTTTAGTTTTTCCTATCTTTTCTCCTTTCCCTCATCTTCACTGGCTAATCCTTAAGTTCAGTTTCTTTCTGTTTTACTACATCTACTGTACCTTTCAACTTTTATTTACTCTTTGTGTGTGTGTGTGGCCAGCTGGGCTCACCATGGGGTTGGACCCGGCGTGGCATGTGTTCCCAGGGATCAAACAGTGGTCCCTGGGCATTTGCCTAAGCTTGCCTAAGTAGGCACTTTAGACCGCTGAGTGTCTCGCTGGCCCAGGTTTTATTTACTCTTTCAGGATCTTACACTAGGGAGACAATACAATATCTACACATGTGAGCCTGATTTATCTTATGAGCACAGGCTCTGGCTGCATCCACTTACCTATGAAGGCTTTCCGTTTGTCTTTCTTTATAGCTGAGCAATACTCCATGGTATAAAATACCATATCCTTGTTATCCATTCCAACTCCCAATTTCTGCAGTCTGTTCATATGTGATCCTGTTCTTCAACTTACAATGTTTGACTCACAAATATTGTTATATTAAGATGCTGTAAAAGAAATGTGCATCTTAGAAACCATATTTCTCTGGGTGGCTAAGGCAGGAAGATCACAGGTTTTAGCCTAGTCTGGGCAACTTAGTGACTTAGTGAGATGGGGTCTCAAATGTTAATAAATAAATAAATAAAGTAAAAAAGGCTGGAGGTATAGTCCAGTACAATGGCCTTCGATTCAATGCCCAGTACTGAGAGAGCAGAAAAGAAAAAAAAAAGAAAAAAACAAATGAGAGAAGAAAAGGGGGCTGGCGAGATAGCGCAATGGATTAAAGTACCTGCTTAGGCAAGCTCAGGCAAGTGCAGGGACTGCAGTTCCATCCCCAGCACCACGTGCCAGGTTAGCACTGCCCCAGGGCAAGCTGAGCCAGACACACACACAAAAAGAAGAAGAAAGAAAGAAAGAAAGAAAGAAAGAAAGAAAGAAAGAAAGAAAGAAAAGGGAAGGGAAGGGAAAGGAAAGGAAAAGAGAGGGGGAAAGAAAGGGGAGGGGGGAGAAACCACACTGCAAACTGCTGCTCTGTGCTCACCTGTGACTCCAGCCAGGGGCGGGTCCCAGTGCCCACCCAGCCAGGAGACCACCAGCGATGCGGTATGGCCAGCAGTCTCGATACAGAGCGAGGACGCCAGGTAGCTGATGATGTTGGGCGCATTCTCAGCTGCAACGCTTTCAACATGGGATGGCCTCACTGGGCCACAACCCATCCGAAGTTGAGGGCATCCGTTTAGCAAAGGGACTCTGCAGATGTGGGTAAGCAGAGGTCTGAGACGGGGAGACATCCTGGGTGACCTGGACGGGATGGCTTAATCTCCAGGGTCCTTATAAGAGGGAGGCAGGAGGGCTGGGATGAGGCGGACTGGGAGACCTTGGACTGCTCACGCAGAGGATGGACGAGGAAGCCCTGAACCCAGGGATGTGGGGTTTGCACAGATCAATGGCACTGGACAGAGGCTTCCAGGAGCCTCCGGGTAGAACCAGATACGGACAAGATCTGCACCCCTCCTCCCCCACGGGCTGCAGAAGGCAGCAACCAGGACCGCTCCACCGGGTCTCCCCAGTGAGGCCCCTTTTGACTTCTGACCTCTCTGCAGGAGAGAATCCATTTGTGCTGTTTTAAGCCCTTCAATCTACGCTCATTTGTTTCAGGGAGCCAATACAGAGGCCCTCCTTGAGAGTGCGACCCGCAGGACAGACAGCGCCTAGGGCCCTGACATCCCCGCAGAGAGAGGGACAGGCTCTTCCTCCTCTGAGGTGCAAGCAGTCTGGGACTTCTCTGTCTTCTCTTCCCAGCAGCTGACAGTTATTTGGTTTGCGCTCCAGGATCATCCTGGTTCTGTGACAGAGGCTGACTGGCTCAGGGACGAATGGGAAGGGGCTGCTCTGAAGAAGAGCCACGAGCGAGCGAGCGTAACGCAGAGGAGGGCAGGACAGGCTCTCCAGCTCTCCTCTCTCAGGAGCTTCCGCTCGCTCTCCGCTCTCCGCTCTCCGCAGAGGGCATCCTCTGGGTCCTCTTGCTGTTGCTGGCACTAAGGAGCAGCTCCCCTCTCCCTCACTCACTAAGCACAGGAGAGAACACGTGATTGGCTGTCCTTGGGTCGGATGCCCAGTCTGTGTCCAATCAGCTACGGCCCACAGAGGCGGGGCCACCTAGTACCAGGCGGCTCCCTCCTCCACAGCAATGGGCTGGGCAGGCTGCAAAGGAGCTCCTGATGGAGGCAGACATTTGAGGTTTTGGCTCTCGTTGAGTGGCTTCTATGGCATCTGGTACTCTTTCTGGACCTGGACCTCTCCATCCATAAAATGGGAGGGTTGGAATGGCGTGATCTCCACGTGCCCGCTCAGCTCTGAGATTCCATAGTGTGCTCAGGGCCAGACACAGGAAGGCACTGCCATGAACAGCCGGGAACAGAATGGCCCAGAAGAAGAATGATGTGAGAGACACCTCTCAGCAACAAAGCACCCAACTGCAATGCATTAAATAATAAGGACACGTACTAGCTTACATACCAGGAAGCCCAGAATCGTGATTGATGCGGCTCATAAATGATGTCACTAGGCACCAATCTTCCGTCTCCCCCACCCCTTGCATCCATCCAGTCATCTAATCTCTTAACTCTGAGCACCTTCAAAAGCCACATTATCTTATGACCACCTGGGGTAGAATAATCAACAGCACAGAGTCCCCAGTCCCTGCCTCTCTTGGGCTACGACCAAGACAGAGAGGAAAGGGTTCTGTCTCACAGCAAGATTCTTTGCTTTAGAAAACAAAGTCTCTTAGAATTACCTTGCCCTCACTTATTCTTCGGTCTCAATGCCGAAAATGCTGAATGAGTTTCTGGTACTAAGAGAATAAGTGATCTTTTTCCACAAGGAAAAGAGGGAAAAAAATTGATACAGTGGCATGTACCTGCAGTCCCGGCTCCTAAGGTCCTCAGGGCAAGAGGCTCACCTGAGCCCAGGAGTTCAAGGCCAGTCTGGGCAACATACTGAGACTACTACCTCAAAACAAAGGAAGGAAAGTGGGCTTGGTGGTGCACATCTGTAACACCAGCACTTGAGAGGCTGAGGCGGGATGATCCTTGTGAGTTCAAGGCCAGCCTGAACTGCATAGTGAGACCCTGTTTCAGTCACACACACACACACACACACACACACACACACACACACACACACAGTATCAAAATAAAGAAAGAAGGGGGCTGGTGAGATGGCTCAGTGGTCTAAAGCACCTACTTAGAACAAGCTCAGTAAAGCACAGGGACCACGGTTCAATCCCCAGCACCACATGCC